ACACACACACACACACACACACACACACACACACACACACACACACACACACACACACACACACACACACAGTTATCAATATCATCAATATGTTTCCTTTATTGAGCTCTGGACGATTCATTAAATTGGAGGAAGTAAAGCAGATTTGTACATTAAGTTGTTTAAATTATGTAGAAAATGAGTGATTTTATTTTCTAATCCTTTCTTATTGTGAACTTTGCTTTAGTTTGTAAAATAAAAAACATATTGATTGATTCTGTAAATAGATTTGACAAAACATAAAAACATAGAAAGTCTGGAGTCAATATATAGATGTACATATATGATTGTCTCTTTTTCCTCTTTCCCACATGTTTTATACATGAGACTGTAAGAACATACATGATTTGTTATTTAAGGATCATACATTTTAAAGTTTGTCATAAATGAAAGGACCACACACACGTTTGTGTTGATATGTTTTAACATGCGTGTGTAGTGACGTGATCTGACACAAAGAAAGGTTCCTACCCGCAGTGTCTGCCCATGACCTCCAGAACAAATGTCCTCTGGTGGCTGGAAAACAACAAACCACAGGAACAAGACACAGCACATGTGAGTGGACGCTTCATCACGTCTCTGAGGTTTGAAGAGACACTGAAACATTCCCTGAATACACTCATACGAACCCTAACCCAGTGGACGGACGTAACAAAGTACTTTTACTTTGTTACCTAAGTACATTTTGTATCAGTACTGTAATACTCATTCATCTCTCGTCTTGTCTCTCTTATTCTTTCATCCCGACTCATCTCTTTCACCTCTGAGCCGTGGTCATGATGGCGTCCACCACCTCGATGATGCGGTGCAGGGCCGAGTCGGTGCCGATGGTCATGTCGGTGCCGCAGAAGTCGTTGTCGATGGAGCCGACCATGCCGACGATGTGGAGCTCCGAGTTGGCGAGGGTCGCCTCCTGGTCGATCAGACCTGCAACACACCAGAGGGGGGCGACGGTGAATTGTGTCCCCGCCTGTCTGAACGATGGACCGACCCGTCCCGCAGCGAGACGTCACCTTTCTGCAGGAGCTCATCCAGCAGGCTGCTCCACTCCTCTCTGAACAGGTTGGCTCCGGTCAAGCTGCCGTCTCCGCCGATCACACACAGGTTGGTGATGCTGCGCTTCACCAGGTTGTGTGCGGCCTTCAGGCGGCCCTCGCGGCTGCGGAACTCTTTACAGCGGGCGCTGCCGATGACCGTGCCGCCCTGAGAACACAGCAGACATGAGCTGGCACAGATACTTTTAATAATCGCTCACGTCTGCAGAAGAGAAGAGGAAACACGGATGGTTTTATTCGGACGCTCTGCTCACCACTTGCAACATGCTGGAGACGCTTTCCCATGATGCCTCTTGGATGTTATCGCCCCCGTCCACCATCCCCTGGTAACCCTGAGGGGAGACACACATATTGCAGATAAACCAGGTAGGATGAACACTCTGCACCAGACTGTTTATAAAAAGGTGTAAAAGTGACTTTAGAAGAGTTTGAGGACGACTCTCTAATGACGAGGAATAATTCTCAAATCAAATTCAATCAATCGTCTAAAATATATAATATAAACAGGAAAGGAACATGCTGAACTCAACTCCTCGCCAAAATAAAGGTATTATTGCCCTCATCTGTGGTTACTCAGCTGATGAGGGTGAGAACGACACCTGCCTCTGCTAATCCACTTAAATCCACCCTGAGGCCTCAGTGTCTCTAAACCACTGTTCACCTCCACGGAGCTAAGAGGCAAGTGAGGAATAAAATCCTCCCCCTGAGTCTCTCTCTCTCTCTATATATATATTTATATCTGCATCTATATCTACAAATATATATTTGATTCTAGAATCCTGCCGGCACATCCAAAGACTCGTCAGTTCTGATTCAGCTCAATGTGTGAGGGTGAGACAGAAACCACAGACGCCCTCAGGGACCTCGTCTGGAGTCACGTCTCACCTCGTGGATGAAGAAGACCTTGGCCCCCACGTAGATGCCCATTCTGACGGCCGCCCTGACGGCTGCGTTCATGCCTGGGGAAAAAAAGGACAGAGAGGAGTTGGTGGTTGTCTCAGAAAACAAGAGGCGCTGTCTCCGTCCTCACATCCAGACAGCTGAAGGACGGAGGAAGACAAACCAAGAATAACTGACACTGGAGGAAATACTCTTTTATTCATTAATACTGATTTTGTTCTGAAATAGTGACGTGACATTATCATAACTCCTGCTGCTCTCCAGGTTATAACGTTATAATAAGGTTAACATGCAGGACACATGGGGGGGGGTCTAGATGTGGTTTCAGGCTAACGAGCGCTGATGGGATTAGCTAGTTGTTGCTAAGAGACCAGGGCCAGTGCTGATTGGTTGAAGAGGATCTGCGTAGAAATGGGAGATGACTGAGTTTGAAATGGACAAAGTGTTTAATGAGGTTTCGGTGAGTGCGGAGAAAAAAAACATGAAAACACACAAACACCCTGATCAATGTGTACTGACACGTGTACACATGTAGGGGACGGGTCAGAAACTTCACAGAAACACTCACAGTCATAGTCTGAGATATCGCCTCTGTCAACCACAGCACTCTCTGACTATATATATATATATATATACACATTTTCCAGATATATATTAGGTTCCTGTGACCGACGACCTTGGAAATCAAATCAGTTCATCCTGGAGTCCAACTGAACATTTCTACCAAATTTGAAAACGATCCATCGAGGCATTCTTGACATATAACGTTCACAGAGCTAGTTTTGAGTCGCTCTCATCCCGCCGGCTTCAGGTTCAGTGAAATCTCTGAGTTCTCAGGAACATGTGTCGTCACAGCGAGGAGACTGGCACATGAAGCTCTGCCGCAGAGACACCGGCACACAAACATATCTGTGCTCATCACAATCGTCCTATAGCAGCTCACAGTTATGTAATCCAGCTACAGCACACATGTCAAGATAAACCCCAGGGGGAGGACATGTATGTGTCATGGTAAAAACACACGAGGACGCCTCAGGATTATTATTATAATATAAAACGAGTCTGAGCATCAAATAAATATTAATAAACCAATATAATCTAATCAGATTTAAATGATGATGCTTCAGGAATATTATTCTCATATGAAACTAGTGTGGAGATAATTTAATATCAATTATGAACTAATCATATGATATAAAATCACCTTTAAATAATAATATTTCGGTTTAATTGCATGAATAGCTTCATCATCACTGGTACTCGCTGCTCCTCACGTAGGCATCAATGAAGCGAGTCACAGTCACACAGGAAGCCAAGCAAGGGACGCTTTCAAAGTAAACTGCAAGGCAAAGGCGGGCTGGGCTGCACGACTTTTACCGCGAAAGGCTCCACCGGAAGCAGGTGATTGTCCTCCAGCTTGACTTCAGCTCGTCTCACGACTCATCCTCTGTGACGTCAGACACGTGTCAAACTCCGGTACATGAAGTTTCAGAGCCTCACTCTGTCATCAGCAGCAATCAGGAGTCAGTGATGATGTCATCACACAGCGGATTCCTTGTTGGGTTCTCTGATTGTCCATCGCACGCACGCACGCGCTCACGCACGCGCCGTCCTGCAGGAGGAAACCGTGCGTGAGGGCGCAGCGCTGCGGGATGCGGGATGAGACAGGGAGGAGGTGGAGTCTGTTCGTTTTCCAAACACCTTCATGCGTTGGTGCAGATTTCTTATCTGATGATCATCAATGTGTTTCATTCATCTTTTCTATAAAACTAATAAAGGAGCGTGCATGTTCGAGCTGTGTGCGTGTGTGTGTGTGTGTGTGTGTGTGTGTGTGTGTGTGCGGGTGTGAGAGGGAGAGAGGGAGCGTCATCTGTTGCATAACCAACCAGATTCATCACAATTAATAATAAGACAGAGCTGAACATGAGAGGATGAATCTCTAAGATTAATTAGAGACATGATATAAATACAAACACTTCCGTCTATGATGAGGTGAAACTTCACAACAATCAGCTTCTCCATTATCGGACAAGTCACTTCTCCCAGCGGCCCCAGCGCGAATCTTCTATTGGAAATGAGTGGTCCGATAATGGAACCCGCATCCCTTTACCTTGAGCATCTCCTCCGCTGGTCAGCACCGCGATGGATTTCCCGGCGCCGGACAGATTCTCGAAGAACTTGCGGGTGTCCTGCCGCTTCGGTGCCGCCGCGACCGCCATCAGTGTGCGTGCGTGGAGGAAGAGGAGGAAGAGGAGGAAGAGGAGACCTGGTCCTTATAATAATAAGAAGAAGAAGAAGAAGAAGAAGAAGGAGGATGAAAAAGAAAGAGGACGCTCCGGGTGTCAGAGACGGGCGGAGATATACTGGAGTAGAACCGCAGTGGTCACCGCCCCCCCGCAACAAACGCACCCGCTTCACCAAGATCGTCTAATAACACAGATGACTCACTCCACAGCACCAGAGGAGGAAGAGGTGACCCCAATGATTATAACTATAATTATCATAATATAATAATAATGACTATTGGCCCGTGTCCCATCTGCTAACATGGAGGAGGCTGGATACAGCCAGCCGCCAGGGGGACAAATATTTTTTGTCTAAGCGATGAAACTTCCCCCAGTCAGAGCGTTGAACCTCCATCCAGCCCCTCCGAATAAAACCTCTTTTAAATTCTCTAGATTTGTATTTTCATCTCAAATATGAACAAATATCAGTTCCCGACACGCAAAATCGTTTCATCAAAATCTGCGGAAAATGTTTTTAAAACGTGAATGAGTCTCTCAGAGTTAAAGAAAGTAAAGACATCTGTATCAGATTCCCTCCAAAGTGTGACGTGATTTCTTTGGGTCGGAGGTCGGCCCCCCCACCCCTTCTGTAAAGTTCAAGGAAATCAGTTGAGTGGTTTTAGCGTAATTCTGCTAACGAACGAACAAAGTGATAAAATGCTAACGTCCATTGTGGAAGTTATAAATAATATAAAACCGTTGTTCTATATAGAAACAGCAGTGAGAAGGATTGAGTGAGTTATTATGAAATGATCGAGCCATTTGATTCACGTGTAATTATATATATAATAATTTACACATATTGATTTAGAAGTTTTAATCATGTTTTTTTTTTTTTAAATCTAACTCCAATGTATGGTCTGGAAATAAAAATCAGAGTGATACATCTTTACTTCCTCAACTCTTCTAATATGTTGGAGGCCAGAGAGCCAATGACGAGAGTCTGTTTTTGATTGGCAGCTGTAATCCACCAATGGGCGTCCACATCACGTACTGGGGGAAATTCATCAGAACCAATCGGAACCGAGGCTGCGTCACATGATCGAGTTTCTCTGTTTTTGAGACACGAAGAGTAAAAGTTTGTAAAAAGCTTGAACACAACTTTACACAAAGAAATGAGATTCATTCATGAAACTAAGTCACTGCACAAACACATGAGCTGATATTTGAAATCAAATATTCTGTGTGGATCGAATCATCTCTGTCATTTCTAATCTTCTATAATATTAAAGTTTTTACTTTCACACGTGTGAAACAGTTCTACAAGTTTTTACAGATTTATTTGGACTCCGAGTGAACTCCTGACCTTTCGTAAAGTTCATGACCTTGAGCTAGTGTTTGCTGCGAGCTTTATCTTCATGGATCTGAATGAGCTGGACAACAAGACAAAGATATTATAAACAAACCAGAACTTTATAAAAGTGCACAAATATAATATCTGATTTATCTATTTATAAAAATATTATATATTTTTTTTCTACTGAATATAACTTCCCATTATTTTATATCATGAGGAAGTTATATAAGAGTTACAGATGAACGTTGTTAGAAACACAACAGTACACGGCAGTTTGTGTAGAAAAATACTTATAGTGCAGAAAAACAAAAAGCCAGTTTTCAAAAAGTTAGAAAGGAAGAAGAAATACAGGCAAAGAAAAGATAAAAAATGTGGAATATGAAAGCAAAGTGTGTAGAAATCAGTGAGCAGCAGAATGTGGATGTAAAACATATTTGAAATTTGGACTGATCTGATTATATTTGAGTTATTAAAGGATATTAGGATTAAAATGCAGGAGAATTCATGTTGAAGAACCATGAGAATATTTTATATTTTAAAGCGTCTCAGCAAAGTTGATCAACATTGACAGATAATGTCGCCTCCTGCTGCTGAAAAGCGAGCATTGCACCCACAGGGAGACCAAGAATCAGTTTTACAAGGATAAAAATCCTCTCTCTCTCTCTCTCTCTCAGGTGGACGAAGATTAGTTCTCATTAAACTGAACGGGCACATGTTGATATCATCCATGTGAACGATGGAAATAATGACACAGGAAGGTTCACGTCCCAGCTGATGGAATAAAAAGACGGAGGCGGCTCCGCTTCATAAAAATAATTTATTTACAGTGGCATGAATCATAAATTAACGAGTAGCATTGGCAAAAGCAACATCAGAGGGGACAGCTTGCATAAAGTGGTGTGAACGTCTGGACCTTTGCTTAAAAACACAGTCACTGAGTAAAGTGGATGAACTGAACCGACGACCCTCTGAACACCTGCGGACATTAAGACTCTCACACTTTGACCTGTTTTGCTCTGAAATATCATTTTACTGAGAAACATGCAAATCAAACTGGTTTTAAATAAAGAATCCTGAGGAATAATCTAAAAAAAAATAAGATTTTTGCATTTTGATTACAAAGTATTATTATAATTTGTAGTTAATTCAGTTTGTGTAATTTCTTGGGAGAGAAGATAAAAATTCCTGGTTGTGTAAATATTAAATGTACAGAGGTAAAACACTCAGTGAGCCGTGTGTGACACGAATAAACTTTACAGTTACACACCAGCCAACCAGAGCTGAGGCCTTATGCTTCGTCTTTAGCATCTTCAGGTAAAAGTTTTACAGTATTTTGCAACTGATTATACATTCGTCTGTGAATTGAGAAATAAATTATTTATTTACAAATACTGTATCAGTCAAAATGAGTTTACGTCAATTCGTGATGAAGAGTTTGACGTTAACAACTTTTCAGATTTTAAGTTTTCTCTCGTGAAATGATTCATTCACAGCAGATTCAAGAAAATCCAGAGTTTTACAACCTCATGTGTGAGAGAGAGAGAGAGGGAGAGAGCGAGAGAGAGAGTGAGAGAGAGAGAGAGAGAGAGAGAGAGAGAGAGCACCTTTTAAATTGATTCAGTTAAAATATTCCCACAATGTTTGAGGTCCAGTCTGTGACTTCACATCTCTCTCTGTGTTCGGGTCGAGATATAAACTGGAAATAAAGATGGACGACACGACAGCTCAAAAAAGTGAAGCCAAATCATCTCGATCGGCCCCTGGTGACCCCGCCTCCTCCATGTAAGCAGATGGGACATGGACCGAACTAATAAGCAAACGTGCATGTTGAATACATTATTTCCAAAAGACGATTTCTGTAATTTTAGTTTTAATTACACGTCACGATTTGGCTTCATTCAGGAGAAACATCGTGCATCTTTATTTGCAGTCGATGGTTCAGGGGCACGAAGAGAAAGTGTCGTCGTTCAAAGATCGACACAACAAACCAACACACGTCACAACTTTCTCCTTCAGCTTGTAACTCGACAGTGAGTCCTGCAAGGCCAGAGCATCGCAACCACAAACACTAATGTTAAATACGAGTTTTTATTAGTTCCACACACACGTTGTGTCGAGGCAAAGCTGCTTTGGAGGCAGAAATAATCACAGTGGAAAAAAATCTCAGTGGGCGAAGTGAACGCACCGAACAACAGGATGGTGTTAAGCGGCGTTTAACAACAGCCGCCATCTTAGTTTAGAGCGTTAGCATTTGCTAACGGTGCAGCGAGAGTTGTTTGTTTGTCATAAACTGCACGAATCTGAATTTTGACCTGCAGATGGCGCCAGTGGGGTGATTGTGGATGTCCGAACCAGAGTAATCCGTGAAATAGCCGAGAAGTTATGTCGTGCCGAACCAAAGCGGCGGAGCAGAAAAAAAGAAATGCTCCGTATATTTATACAACAATCTGCTCTTTAACCAGAAATCATTGAGCTGCTAATGCTAACGTTAGCAAAGTCACCCACTGAGGTTTAATTCAGCCTGTGAAAATATTTCTCGTCTGCTGCTCTGCTTTACCACTCTGGGGAAAATGTTTTTTATAAATCTAAGTATGTACACTATCTATACACATTTACCTTCATTCAAAAAGTCATTAAACAGGGATACAGCCCCCCAGTAACTACAGCAGTTGAAATATATTAATTATATTTAAATCGACATCAAGATGTACCATTCTGAGAGATTTCATTATAAAGAAAGATTGATTTTCTTCTTCATGTCATACAAACAATCTAAAAGTTTCTTTAAAACTATAAATACCTTTTAAAATATTTTTTTTTCCATAAAGTCTTATTCGACGTCTTTCAGTCGGGCTCGAAAATAGAACCGTAAATGTTAAAATCAAGAGGTTTAGTTTCTGCCTGTCGATGGTTCACTTCTCCAGTCTTCAGTCACACACACACACACACACACACACACACACACACACACACACACACACACACACACACACACACACACACACACANACACACACACACACACACACACACACACACACACACACACACACACACACACACACACACACACACACACACACACACACACACACACACCTTCAGAGACTTGAGAGAACCACAGGTAAAAGTTTAGGAATACATTCATCTGATCAGAGCACATGCTATCAGCAAAACCTGTCTGTGTTTGTATTTCAGTGTTTCTTTTTATTTTAAAAAGACTATTAAACGTTTCTTAATAAAACCCAGTGTTCAGTTGACGTTAACTTAATCTGAAGAAGTTAGTAAAGATAATAATGGATTTTCTGTTTTTAGTTTAATCCAAATCCAAAATGAAACATCGGGCTGGATTTAAGGGAAACACATATCCTGATGAATACTTCAACTACTTAAGGGGATTTAAATTTAATGGGAGTAAGTTCACGTGTACCTGGTGACCATTTGATCAACATCTTTTTTTACTGTGTCAACAATTCAGAATGTGTGTAGAGGTTTTAGTTTCCAGTGAAATCACTTCCTCTGAGAGTTTCAAATTAAAAGCCTCCATATCTGTCTCTATAATCTGTTATAATTTTATACGGATGAAAATAAATCTGAGGGAAATGCAGATTATGTAGAATTAAACTTTCACGTGAGAATTATCTTATAAGTTAGGGAGAAATCTTTAAATCTGAATGCGCTGTGACACTTTCCTGTGGTTCTTCAGTTGGTGTATTTGCTGTTAGGACGGCTCAGATGGCAGATTCTCTAATTTGTCTGATTATCTGAACGAGCCAAAGTGAAGTGGGTGCAGTTCAGAGGGTTTTACATGTCTCGCTCGTCATCATGTGACTGTCCATCATGTGTGAGAGAGGGAGCAGAGTGTTTCCATCCAACTCGCTGTTTCTTCGTGAGCTGAGCTGAAGCCGGCGTCCGTGTGTCTGACCGTCGCCTTGTCTCAGCCACAGCAGGGGTCAGCAAAAATTCTACGACCGGCAGAAAATCAGAGAGCGAGATAGATAAGGTCATGTTTAATTTCATCAGACTGATTCCATGAAAGCTTCTGTTTCTAAACAACATGATGTTAAGGTTATCAATACAGGAAGAAGAGACAATTTGTTTCTTACAGAATTGGCGTCATCATCTTGTGTCCGCATTTCAATTCCCACCAGCTGCTCCAAGATCAGGCTGCTGTCACTCACCTGTGCCAGAAAAACAAGCAGCATGAACAAAACCGCTGAATGTGTTCAATTACACCCAAATACTAAGGATGACAACTAAGAGTTGTATCTCCTATGTTCGTTTTTTACATATTTCAATTATTTTAGCTCTGATGAGGGCGTCATGTAGAGTCTGTATTAATCTATGAAAACTAATTTCGCCTGATAAGATAAGAACATGATAAATATGAATCCAACAGGAAACGTTCATCATCAGGGTCATCGACACGAAGCAGTGGAAAGTAAATCTCTCACCTGCTCTGCGCTCATGGGGGTCATAGAGCTCATCTGTCCTGACATCTGGCTCAAGTTGCCACCGTTGCCGGCCATGACGCCCGTGTTCATGTTGTTGCTGCCGTTGTACATTCCTGCGTTGGGTTGCGTGGAGTACTGGGACTGGGACTGTTGCGGGTACACACTGAAAGAAGCCAGAGTTCAATACGTTGAGAAGAATCTGATGTTTCTCCACGTGATGTTCACATGAATCCTGAATCTGTTTCTACCTGTTGCTTGTGGAGATGTTGGCAGGTTGGGGCCACCTGTTGAGGTCTGTGCTGGTCTGGTAGCTGGGGGGTCCTCCCTGGTTCGGGCCCTGGGGTTGGGGTTGGGGTTGGCCCTGACTCTGCAGCAGCATGGGGCTCTGACCCTGCCCCATCCTGGGGGACAACAGGGGGCTCTGAGGGGTTGCAGCCCCACATGAGAAGCCTGACACTGGATCCTGGTGCTGCTGTTGTTGTTGGCTCATTCCTGGTGATGGAGGCAGATAAACGGGTCATACAGAGGTTTAACAGATCCGATGGAGATTGTGAAGTGTGATACCTCTAGTTTCCTCTCAGATCTTTAACAAGGGGTCAGAGAAGTGGGATTTATTTTAAATCTTTGACAAGACACATGAAGTCAACAAACATAAAACAAGAGAAGGTTTCTGTTTGACCAGTTCCACCACCACAGTTCATTTTCCTGACAGGGGGAAGTTAAGACAATCTCACGGTAACTTTGTTTATTTGCACTCAGACATTTTTCATGCAGCCAATCAACTTGAAAACAGACTTGATTATATTTCAACGCCACCACCCAGAAAAACACAGACCACCGCTGCCGAGCTCTAATCATATACCTGAACTGCTGAACTGGAAGGCACTGTGCTGAGACGGCGGACTCATTACCCCGCCGTACTGCGCGCCTACATTTCCCATCATGCCCTGGCTAGTCAGGTGACGGCTGGGGGAGAGAGAGGAGGAGAAGGGGCTGGAGGAGCCGGGATGAGGAGGTGGAGGAGGAGAGGGCAGGCCAGTACCGTAGCTGGAGGCCGGGTAGGGGAACTGCTGCGGGTTGCCCTGCGGGAGACGCGGGTTGGTGCCACCGACGGGCATCGGCGTGGGCGCGGCGCCCCCGCTGGGCATGTTGGGTGGCATGTTGATGCCCTGAGTCCGCATCATCATGGCACGCTGGTGGTGCATGTGTTGTTGTTGCTGCTGCTGCTGCTGCTGTTGGCGTTGGCGTAGGTGGTTGCTGAGGTACTCGCGCTGACGCTGGGCCAGCATCTGGGCGTTGAGGGTTCCCTGCACGGGTAAAAACACAGAGAGGTGACGACGCCATTCACTGGAACCGGCTGCAAACATGACTCTACAAGAGAACTGAACACAAATCACTCGGATGTATAAAAAAATCTTTACCAACAGTCTGTGATCAGGAGTCTCATTACAATTTCACTCAGTCAATGAGTTACCATGGAAACACCTCATTTACACAGACTCACCTGGTTTGGTACATTAGACCTTAGAGGTAGATTCATGTTGGAGACCCCACTCATCTGGTTCACCACTGGCTGACGGTTCTACATGAGGGATGGATACAGACTTTGTTACTCTCATGGGAAACACTTTCCTCTGGCATGAACTCTGACCTCAAACAATAAAACAGTTGATCAGCCCTCAGACTTTATAAAACCAGAATGAATGAAATTTAAGATACATGTCAAGTACGACAGATTTGAAGGAATATCAGAGCCCAACAATTACTTGCACTTCCTCACAATTGAAGATGAAGTGAAGTAAAAAACAACCCTGGACCTCGTTATGTCTCGGACTCTCCACTAGGTGGCAGTCTAGACTTTGATGTATCCTTCACTCTTCACATTTTTAGACAATTTGGACCCTCAACATGAAACATCTAGTATCCAAACACGTGAACATATGCAGAAACTAAAAATACCCTTCAATGCATGAACAACATCGTAACAGAACATAAAGTGCATACACTCCAGAACAGGAGCATTGTGGGGGAAATGGATTCTCCAAAGAGACAAGTGTGTTAACAGCCAGGCGCGAAAGGCAATAATGATTTTGTGTGTGTTTAAGTGCACACCGCATGCATGTGTGTTGCTGGTTAAGTGTCTCTGCAGCAGGGAATCGCTGATGAAGGCAGAGAGCTGAAACACGTTTGTTCCTTTCTGGCTGCGGCCGTTGAGTTCAAACTCGCTGAACCCTGTCGGCATCACTGTCCACTCACCAGCATCACACGGTAGAAGAACAATGTACGTGTGCTTCATGTGCAGGCTGCTACAGACAGAGACTGCTGTGATATGAATTTCAGTGCACAACGATCACACCATCTTTTTCATGGTGATGAGGTTTGGCACTTATTAAAACAAGTGTAAGGATCCGTTATTCACTTTCTCAAAAAAATATCCATCCATTTTCTTTGCCACTGACGGTGGAAAGCTGGAGCGACACACAGAAACACATCTGCATCACAACTACAGCTTTGAGTCTCCAATTAACCTAATCTGCATGTGTTCGGACTGATGAGTACCCAGAGAAAGACCACGCAGAACACGGAGAACAAGCGAAGCAACGAGGTGAATTTACTTTGGACCAATTGCGATGGAGGTTTGATGGACAGAGACAATCACTGAAACATGTAGTAAACAAACCCACGACGTCTCAGCAGAAAGTCACAGATGCATGTGATGGTCTGTTCCCCATTCCACAGGTCTGAGGTCGATAAGCATCGCAGAACTGACGGAGGAGTGATCTGACACGTGTGTTGTGACCTACCAGTTGGGCCTGGAGTCTGTGCTGCAGCTGGAGCCTCAGGTTGTTGGGCTGAGGTGGCACCACGGCACTGGGAGCCCCTGGCCTCATTCCTGCCGACCTGGGCCCCACACCCCCAGGCATCCTCATCATTGGGGGGTAACCAGCAGGGGGCATCCTTTGTGGCCCCATGTGGCCAACCATAGAGGGTCCGTGGAACCCACCATCAGATGGAATGCCGCCATAACCTGGCTGCCCGCCGTAGTGTTGGCTGTACTGGGGAGGCTTCATGCTGGCTGCTGGGTCTGAGGAGCTCAGGTACTGGTCCTGGTCCGACAGAGGAGCCTGCAGGGAGGGAAGATGGTGAGAAAGGGGAATAAATAAAAAATGTGTTTAGTGTTTTGGTCTAAAAAGCATCATTGTGGTTGGGGAAAATGGCTGATAAAAAGTTTATACAAATTCCACCTGTCTGGCCAGCGTTGGGATTCCCAGCATCTTGTCAATCTCCTCTAGACCCTCATAGTCCTTTAGCACCGAGCACAGCTGGTTCAGCAGGGCCCCTTCGTCTGGCTGGCCCTCGGGCCCCATGGTGCAACACCCCATCCCATCCGCCTGTGGAACGCCGTACGGTGGCCTGAAAGATACCTTGGCGTTAGTTTCACGAGACGAGGGTCGACACGGAGCTCACATTCAAACCCCCACAAGCGCAGCTCGCGTCTGATTTCTTATCGGCCGACAGGTTGAATAAATGCCAAACCTGCTTTGGTTTCCATAGTGATCCATCATCATTCGGTCTGGCCATGGTGCAGTCTGGTTGGGCGGGGCTTGCTGCTGAGGGTAGACAGGGTTTGCCATCTCCATCTCTGCAGCAAAGAAATGCAAATGTCAGGATCGTTTCTGCTTTTGATGATGATTGGTGTCATATTTTTTGTTCTCTCTTTTATGCGTTTATCTTTTCCCCGTCTTTTTTTCTCACCATTTCCCATCATCTGAATGTTCACCATAGCTCTGGATCCAGGCGGGCCTCTCGTGGGGAGCCCAGTGTTCATGCTGGGCACCATGCGACCAGGTCCGATCCCCTGGCCCATCATCTGCCCCGCAGGACCCCCCATTGGCCCCTGGGGACCCCAGCTCTGCTGCATGGAGCCTCGCATTGACCCATTAGTCAGCATGCCTGATTCAGGGGGAAGAATTTCACAAGTAAAGTCATTTTTATAAAATAGAGAAGCTCAAAAAATACTTCTTAGAAACTTAGATCAACTTTCAGGATGTCCCAGTACGTAAAATTATTTAAGATACGACGTCGGAGCTTGTGAATTTGTTTAAAAAGCTCTTTTTTCTTTTTTTTTTCAGCCTCACCTGAGTTGGCCATTGTAGCTTGGTTGGCCATGCCTGCATGACTTCCCATCATGCCTTGCTGTTGTTGATGCTGCAGTAAGGAGTAGGGGCTGATGTTCCTGTGATGAGGAGGGAAAGGCCTGGCGGTGTTGGGGTTGGAGCCCATACTGCCGTCCAGGGACATGCTCCTGACAGGAGGGGCACCTCGACCCGGCTGGCCCGGCCTGGCTCCACTGAAACCTGCTGGGAAGAAGACACACGTAAATTATAAATGTACACACTTGCTGAGGGACAAATGCGATGAGTGTTTTCTAATTTTCTCATTGACATTATGAGGATTTTAGCAGGAACCCAGAAATCCTCAAATGAAGCCAGACACAAACATCCTGTTGCAGACGTACTTGCTGGGCAAATGGGGGGGAAGGCTCTGTGCTGGCTGGGGGGGCTGCTGTTGCCGCTTCCGCCGCCGCTGTTGTTGTTGCTCATGTGTAGGATATCGCTGATGATGGTTTGTTTATCCACAGAGGAACCGGGGGGCACGGAGGAAGAGGAGGACGAAGAGGAGGGTGGTCCTCTAGCTGGTGGCTGGGCTCCAAACAGCTGCTGCTGGCCGCCGCTCTGCAGGTCCTCCAGAAGGTCCTCAAGTTCACTGGTCTGAGATCAGCAAAAATAAGATTAAATTACAAAACTAAATGCAACAAAACATTCCTACACTTCAGTATATATCAAGGGGATGTCTCAACCATATTTAAGGACTTAATGTGCATGTTTGAGTTTCTACAAACACATTTAAGAATTTTCAGCTGACATCCTTTGCTTCTTGAACCAGAAGAGCTGCCGCTGAAACGAATCCACCGAACTCTGTTTAGAATTCTTCACAGTTTAAAAGTTTGCTGCTGGTTTTTACTTTTCTCTGAGGTGCTTCAAACTGTTTTGCCATCACAAAATGTTTTTGAGAGTTTTTTTTTTTTTAAGAGTGAGGCAAAAAAATTATCAAAACCACACACACACACACACACACACACACACACACACACACACACACACAGGAATGGTTTCCTCGGGCCGTTTGGCTTATGAATAGAGGAGGAGCTAAAAATAAACTGCCGGCACTAATGAGGTCATGTGTGATGTACAATAAGACACACAGTCATAGCTCAGTTTAGCCATAGTGTAAAAACATACACACAACACAACAGAAACACACACTGACCTCAATACTACCACACATAGAGGGCATCATTTC